TGTGGATGGTGTGTGGATGATGTGTGCTGAGGGTGTGTGGTTGGTGTGTGGATGGCGTGTGGATGATGTGTGCTGAGAGTGAGGCTGGTGTGTGGAAGTTGTGTGCTGAGGGTGTGTGGATGGTGTGTGGATGATGTGTGCTGAGTATGTGTGGTTGGTGTGTGGATGGCGTGTGGATGGTGTGTGCTGAGAGTGTGTGGCTGGCATGTGGATGACGTGTGCTGAGGGTATGTAGTTGATGTGTGGATGGCATGTGGTCTGTATGTAGACTCTGTGTGCAGGGTTTGTGGAAGGTGCATGGAGGAGGTCACGTGGTGACATGTTTTGCGGTGTATGGATGGGATGTGGCTGGTGTGTGGAAGTTCTGTGGGTGGCATGTGCTTGGCACTGGGATTTCTGCAAAGGCACACCGCAGCCCTCTTCTGTGGCAGCTTAGAGGCCACTTTATGAGGCCCCAAGTCAGACTCAGTGGAGGACCTGTTGGCTACCAGACTTTTAATCACTATTTTCATCAGCTCCCGGAATGGCCTGGGGCTTGAGTGTCACAGTTGCCTGAAAAGTTGTTGTTTTATCCCAGATCACACAGTGAAATCAGCAGGAGGTCCCTGCACCCAACATCATGGCTGACACCTTCACTCACCCCGTTGCCCCATCCGATGCCTCCCTCTCCTTCACCCCCCATCTCATCAACTGTAGGGCCTCCCAAGGCCTGCTGGGGTCCCCGAGCTTCTTGGCATCATCCCCTCCCAATTCCACTGCCGTCATCTCTCCTGTGGGCAACTGACTCACCTTTACCTTCTCCTGTCTCCTGATCCATTCTCTGCAATCCACCCTCCACACCAGCTTCCAGTGGGACTTAAAAACATAAATCCAGTGATGTCAGCTCCTGGCTTAAAGCCTCTGAGTTCCCTCACAATCCTTGAGACAGCACAGACCTCTTCTCCGGCTGCCAGGCCTGGTGGGCTCAGCCTTTGCCCAGCTCTCTGCCCATGTTCCTCTGCTCCTGATTCCATGGTTCAAACCACTGGCACCTCACATGGCTCCTCAGTATGTTGGGCATGCCAAATATGCCAAGCGGGCCATGTCCTTTTTGCCTGGAGCCTCTGCTCATGTGGCTTTCTCTACGTGGCCTCTCTCTCTCACCTCTCCCTCCATGTCGAAGGCCCACCAGGCTGGGAGGCTGCCCTCGAGCCCACTGAACAGTTCTGAAAGCACTTACTGCATACCAAGTGCTCACATGCATGACCTCATCTGATGTTCACACCCCCCAAAAGGTGCTGGTGTCATCCCTGTTTTACAAAGGAGGAAACTGAGGCTGAGAGTGGTGACGTCTCTTGCCAAGGCACCCAGGAGTGAGGCCCGAGTGGGGTTTTCAGGATGTGTGCTCTCAGGGGAGTAAGGTGTTTCAGCTGGGTACTGGAGGGGAGTGGATGGTTGAAAGCATGTGTGTGCGTGTGTGCATGGGTGCGTGCGCGCGTGTGTGTGCGCGCGTGCGTGCGCGTCTGTGTGTGTGTGTGGAGGGCAGTCCAGGCAAGGCCTGCTATGGGCACAGGGCAGAGGTTCATGTGCTTAACTGAACATTTGGAACCCCCAGCATGAGTTTAGGGAGCCAACCGGGATGTTTGCAATACCAAAATCAGCCACGTGGTGTCACCCTCCTCCCAAGAGGTCTGGCTGGGACTTGCCGGCCGTTTAGGGTTGGAGCCGGGTGGGAAGGGATGTCACAGAAGAATTGCTAGGGGTAAAGTTTTGCATGTTGTGTAACAGCCCCCCACCCTGCCTTGCACTGTGAGAATGCATAAATTAGCCTCTGGCCCTTCCCCATAGTTCCCTCTTGCCCCAGTGTCTTCCCGTCATCCCAGGGACTCCCAATAGGGTGACAGGAGGCATCCTGGAGGTGGGGGCAGAAAGAAATCCTGCAGACATTCACTGCGTGACCCTGGGCAGGTCTCTGGCCCCAGAGAGTCTCTGGTGGCCCCCACATTCCACGGTTCTAGGTTCCCCAGCCAACCTGGCCTGAGGGCTTGGGTTGAGAGGATTTGACCCCAGGTGAACAGAAGGTCCCCAGGGTGAGCAAGACATGGCCCCGGTTTCACTTAGATCTCAGCCTGACCCTGCTGGTGTGGACTGGAGGGGATGGCAGGTGGCTAGACTGGTTTGGCAGCTCTGGCTGGGCCCTGGAGGGTGGGGAGTTGGTGGGAAGAAAGCCAGGGCTACTCAGTAGCAGGACCAGCAGGTGTCAGGACTGGGCCACAGAGGATAGAGAGAAGAGGAACACTCCTGGCTCCATAGGCCACGTGTGCAGCCTCAGCAAGGGGACGGGGGCCACTGGGTTCACTGGTGGGAGATAGAGGGGTAAAGCAACTGTCTGTGCTTTGGAGTCAGGAGCTCACGATGGCACGAGGTGGCTAGGTCCCCTCATTCATCCATTCACCCACCCATCCAGGGCCACTCGATGTGGTTCCCTGGCTGAGGGGGCACATGTGGACCAAGCTCCAGCTCATGTCTGTTCGCTGAGCCTGACTCAATGGGTTTGCTCTGTTCTCAGCCTTCAAGTCTCGGCTACAGCATGGCAAGTCTCTTGATTCATGGCTCGGGGGTGGTGGGTGGGGGGGGTGGTGCATGGATGTCAAGGCCCTAGATTCCCAGTCTCCATGGGACTTGCAACATTGAAGAAACTTCTGCTGCAGGCAGGGGGCAGGGAGGAAGCTCTTTTAGCTCTGGAGACACTGGGGTGTTTGGCCCGTTTTCCCCTGGTTGCCTGGAACAGAAGAGCTTGGGCGGCTCTTCTGTTCCCCTCCCTCTTGCATTTCCCATTTGATGTCATATGGCTGAAGGCAGTAGGAAAGAGATGAAGGGAACCTGGGGTCTGGCCCTGGTTCTGGAAGACTCAGAGAAGAAGGCAGATAAGAAACTAAGGCGGGGGACGAGTGGGCTTCATGGATGAACAGACAGAGGGGTTCCGCCAGATCTGTGAGCTCCTGTGAACTCCTGCATATGAACCGTATCTTGAGTCTCTGGGGGGTTGCTGTGAGGAGGCTTGAGGTTCTGTGTGTGCCTGGAAGATGGGTTCTCATGCAAGGGATGAAGGCTCCGTGTGAAAGATACAGACACAGACGAGACAATGGCAGGAAATTAGATGCAGAGGCGCAGTTATTTGCCCTGGCTCTACTTCTGGCCCTGCTTCTCACAGCCTCGGTGATCCTGGACAAGTCAGTTAATAGTTCAGGCTTAGTTGCCTCATCTATGATGAAGGAGGCTAGACCAAGAACACTTGCTGGGGCCTTGACAGGGGGAGGGCCTGGAAAACTCCCTGGCTGGGGTCTGCAGAGGCGGGATAGCACCCCCCCTCCCCATGCAGGCTGCTGCTCACCTCCTCCATGCCTCTGTGCAGCCGTCTGGCAATCAAGAACTGAGCTGTCCTCTGGGTCTAATGCTGTGCTGGGTCTTGGTGCTGAGAGCCAGCCCCTTACCTGAGAAGACAGACACAGTCAGACAATCATGGAGCATGGTGCCAAAGCTGACACAGGTGCATGTATGTGTGCCTGTGTGTATGTGTGTGTGTGCAAGGCCGTCTCTGACTCAGTAGAGACGTTCTTGTCAGGCTTCAGCAGGGAAGACATGTGCAGGCTGGGTCTTGAGGGATGTGTAGGAGTTCCTCAGTCCAAATAGTGGGCTTCCCACAGGTCCCTAGGGAAGTGCTCTATGGGAGTCCATGTGCACTGGGGGCCCCAGAGGGAGGCTGTGTGGACTCAGAGCTTTGCTCAAGGGCTGTACCTCCCACCAGGCTGAAACCCACAGGAAGAGACCAGGATGGCAGCTCAGCAGTCCGAGGGCTGCCATCTGGGCCTGATCGGGGCCCAGACTCGGACAACTTCCCTTCTCAGTGGCTCTGGTCAGCCTGGAAGTGGGGACAGTCACCTGTAGTTTTCTTAGGGCAGGATGCATCTGGAAATACGATCTGTCCTTTAACGGGACAAGCCTACGCAGAAGCCGGCACCAGTTGGATTTGGGGAAATCTTGTTTCTAGGAAATCTTTCCCCCTGTTATGTCACTGGGGAACCCAGCTTCTGCCCTGTGTCTGAGGACCCCCTTGGAGCCACCAGAGGCAGCCTGGTAGGGTGGAAAGACCCTAGTTTCTAGCCCTGGCTTGCTGTTAATACCTCCTGGCTGTGTGACCTCAGGGGAGAGGCCTAACCTCTCTGGGTCTAGCCTTCCCTTTTCTCTAAACGAGGAGGTGGGACTAGATCAGAGGCTGTAAACTGTGTTCTGAAGGAGCTGTAAGGTTTTTGGAGGCGCTTTAGGGACCAAAGAGGATAAGAGATGAAAGCCAAGGGAGTCTAAAAGGGTCAGGGCTCTGGGACCCCTTCCCACCTCAGTCAGAGCAGCTCTGGTTTTAGGAGTCAAATGCATCAGGAGGTAGGATGATGTGGTGATCCTGCCCTTGACTTAGATGTCCTGATTCAGATCCCCACCTGACCCTTACTCGTGAGAACTTGGGTTGATTGCCTACCCCTCTAAGCCTCAGTTTCCTTACCTTTAAGATGGACAAACAGCAGTACCTCCCTCATGAGGTCACTGTGGGATTAAATGAGATGATATATGTAGAGGTGCTGGGCTCCAAACAGAGCCTGACATATAGCAAGCATTCAGTGAATTTTAACCAGCGTCATTGTGGTTTCACGTCAGAGCCCATCTGCGGGAGGAATTTGGCTGTAAAAAGAAAAGTTTGAACATCACTGGATGGGATGATTTAGAAAGGGGGGGCCTAATCTTTTGGCTTCCCTGGGCCACATGGGAAAGGAAGAATTGTCTTGGGTCACACATAAAGTACACTAACAATAACCATAGCTAATGAGCTAAAAAAAAACTTGCAAAAAAAAAAAATCTCATAATAGGGCCAGGTTCGGTGGCTCACACCTGTAATTCCAGCACTTTGGGAGGCCGATGTGGGCGGATCATGAGGTCAGGAGTTCGAGACCAGCCTGGCCAACATGGTGAAACCCCTTCTCTACTTAGAGATACAAAAAACTTAGCTGGGTGTGGTGGTGAGCACCTATAATCCCAGCTACTCGGGAGGCTGAGGGAGGAGAATTGCTTGAACCCAGGAGGCAGAGCTTGCAGTGACTTGAGATCGCGCCATTGCACTCCAGCCTGGGCAACAGAGCAAGACTCCGTCTCGGCCGGTGGGGGTGGGCTGGAAGGTTGAGGCACGAGAACCACTTGAGCCCAGGAATTCGATACCAGCCTGGGCAACATAGCAGGACCCCATCTTTACACAAAATAAAAAAGTAAAATAGCTGGGTGTGGTGGTGCACACCTGTAGTCCCGGCTACTCCAGAGGCTGAGGTGGGAGGATCACTTGAGCCTGGGGAGGTCGAGGCTGCAGTGAGCCGTGAGCACACCACTGCTCTCCAGCCTGGGTGACAGATTGAGACCCTGTCTCAAAAAGAAAGAATAGAAAGAAGAAAGAGTTGGGTGCATATAAGAAACCATTTCATATACCCCCCTGCCTTACAGAAAAAAAAAATCTCATAATGTTTTAAGAAAGTTTATGAATTTGTGTTGGGCTGCATTCAAAGCCGAACTTGGCTACATGTGGCTCGCGGGCTGCGGGTTGGACAAGTTTGATCTGGAAGGTTTCTTCCTGTTCTTACTTCAGAGCCACACCATGTCCCCTGACCATCCCCCGAGACACCTTGTGTCAGTCACGGTTCTCTGCAGAAACAGAACCAACAGGATGTGTGTAGAAAAAAAGAGGTTTTTTTAAGGAATTGTCTCACGTGATTGTGGAGCCGTGGCAGGTTCAATCTGCAGGATAGGTTGGCAGGCGGGGTGCCCCTGCCCATGTGCTGGAGAGGAGGGCCTTCTTTATTAAGGCCTTCAACTGATTGGATGAGGTCCACCCTCATTATGGAGGGTCATGTGCTTTATTCGAAGTACTGATTTAAATGTGAATCTCATCTAAAAAATAAAACCAACCAACTTTCTCAGAAACATCCAGAATAACGTTTCACCAAATAGCTAGGTACCATGGCCTAAACAAGTTGACTCATTAAATTAACGACTGCATGTCTCCAGCCCTGGCCCTGGAGATGAACCGGCAGGGCAGTCTGAGTGGCCAGTGAGCAGGTGGGCAGCCGGGCCTGTGCCTCTGTGCCGGCCAGGGAAGGAGCTGAGGCCGGACTGGGCATGTGAGTGGTTATCGCCGGGGTCAGGTGCACACCGAGGCTATGTGCTCATTTTCCGACCCGAGTCCAGGAGGAAAAGGCCATTTAGATCCCAACAATGTTGGCTTCCTGTGTTCCTGAGAGGCAGGAAGCAACCCCAGGACAGAGTACCGGCAGCCCAGCTGGGCGGGAGCTGGGGCCAAGGGCTAGGGGTGCAGTTCTTCACCCCAACAGAATAATCCAAGGGTCCCTTCCCACTAAGGAGCTCTCTGCTCCCTATCAGGCCACCACTGGGACCTGTCGCGCGGGGGCAGTGCTGACACTGTGGGCAGAGATGGGGCTCCTGGCGCTCCATGAAGCTCCAGCTGGACTCCGGTCGGACACTGGCTCAGGAGGGCGCATGGGTGGGCTTGTAATTGTGGGGCCTTCTGTAGGAGCTGAGAGGCCATGGTTTGCTCAGGTGGGGCCCATCCTGACATGCATATCTGGGGAGGACGAAGGAGAGGGGAAGGCTGGGGCTTCCTGCTCTTGCTCCTCCCTGCGTGTCCCCATCCCTCTGATGAGAAATGGTCCCTGGGGAGAGAGCATCCCTGTTGCTCACAGACTGGCTTCTCCCCAGCAGTGTCTGATGTTCCCAGGGTTGGAAGCTGGGTTTTTTCCCTTTCTTGGTTGAAGGGAGGAAGAGGCGGGTGGCAGCGGTGGTGGAGGGTGTCTTAGTTGGGCTGTTGCAGAATACCTTAGCCTCTTAGGAGTTACTTTCTGGAACACAACGGCTCACTACTGGGTAGGGGAAGGGAAGTAAGGAAGGAATGAAAGAGAGGGGTGTGCAGGCACCAAGGAGCAAGGTAGGACCCAGGAGATGGCCTCTGCCTCGGTTCCCAGCATCTGCCGCCTTTGGCTTTTGCGTTCTGATGGGTCTTGTGCTCTGATTTCAGTATCCAGTGTGAAATCACTGCATAATTTTTTTTTATTGCAGTGATTTTGTACAGCATAGAAAAATTACTCCCAGGCTTAGTGGTTTAAAATAAATACAGATGGGCCAGGCCTGGTGGCTCACGCCCGTAATCCCAGCACTTTGGGAGGTTGAGGCAAGCAGATCACGAGGTCAGGAATTCAAGACCAGCCTGACCAACATGGTGAAACCCCGTCTCTACAAAAAATACAAAAATTGGCTGGGCGTGGTGGCGTGTGCTGTAGTTCCAGCTACTCAGGAGGCTGAGGCAGGAGAAATGCTTGAACCTGGGAAGCAGAGGTTGCAGTGAGCTGAGATCATGCTACTGCACTCCAGCCTGGGCGACAGAGAGAGGCTTCATCTCAAAAAAAAAAAAAAAAAAAAAAAAAAAAAAAAAAAAAAAAAAAAAAAAAAAAAAAAAAAAAAAAAAAAAAAAACACCATATATACATACATACAGGCTGGGTACCATGGCTCACTCTTGTAATCCTAAGACTTTTGGAAACCCAGGCAGGAGGATCACTTGAGCTCAGGAGTTTGAGACCAGCCTGGACAAATAGCAAAACACCCTCTCTACAAAAAATGCAAAAATTAGCCAGGCATGGTGGCATATGCCTGTAGTCCCAGCTGCTCGGGAGACCGAGGGGGGAGGATCACTTGAGCCTGGTAGATGGAGACTGCAGTAAACTCATATCATGTCACTGCACTCCAGCCTTGGGGGCAGAGTAGGGCAAGACTGTGTCTCAAAAAAAGAAAACAAATCCAAAACTATTATTTCACATGGCTTCCATGGCTCAGGAATTCATGAGTGACTTGGCTGGGTGGTTCTGGCTCAGAGTGTCTTATGAAGGTGCGGTCAAAATGTCACTGGGGCCGTATTCATCTGAAGGCCTGACTGGGGCTGGAGGAGCCACTTCCCATATGGCTCACTTAATGCTGTCAAGCTGGGGCTGGCTGTTGGCAGGAGGCCTCAGCCCCTCACCACATGGCCCTCTCCGTAGGGCTGCTTGGGAGTCTCATCACATGGTCACTGGCTTCCCCTAGAGTGAGTGATCCACGACAAGGCTGAAGTCAAAGTGTCTTTTATAGCTTAGCCTCAGAAGTCACACACTGTCATTTCTATAGTATCTGATTGATTACATGAATCAGCCCTATTTAGTGTGGGAGGGGACTCCAGAAGGGCATGAGTAGCAGAGGCAAGAAACACTGGCAGCTACCCGAGAGGCTGGCTGCCACAGTTTCCTTTTCTGTAGTATATGGAGTATTTCATCATTCTGAGAGTGAGAGGCCAGCAGATTGGCAGGCCCAAACTTGAGAGGACAGCAGACATGATGCAAGTTGGGAGGACATTCTGCCCCTTGGAAGGAGATGCGAGAAAGGTGGCCAGGCATGCAAAGGGGGCTTCCCTGGAGGAGACTCAGCAAGCGGGCCTCCTTCGGGTTGGAGGCGGATACTTCTGCAGATGTCAAAATGCATTCATGGGGGCTTGGCCAAGCCTGTCCTGCTTGGCATCTGCCACTTGCTTTCGGTTTGCTAAGCTTTTGTCTTCTGGGCTGGGAACTGGGGTGGGGGTGGTCTTCCTTCGCTCCCCTTTGTAGAGCTGCCAAGGACAAGCTTTCTGCATTCCAGTGTGCAGGAAGCACTCAGCATAGCATACTGCAATTGCCTGATGATTTCTCCACTTGCCCCCCACTTGAGGGCATTTGCTGAGTGTCTGCCCGCTGTGTGACCGGCAGGGCTGCCCTGTATGGTCATGTAGGCCAAGCGCTGCCAAGGGTGCCTACCTGAGAGAGCACAGGAGTCAGCCCACCCTTTGCCTACCAAGCCATGCATCTTGGCACAGGGCTGATCTGCTTGGAGAAAGGGCACCTTCTCACCATTTCCACAAAGACACTGCATGAGCTCAACTTACTATGCATGAGCTGTGTGTCCATCGGGCTGGTCTCCCAGAGGATGGCCTCAGCCTTCTAGTGTGCACAAAGATGCTGTGTGGTCTCGTGGGCCTGAAGGAGACACTGTCCTAGCTGCTGGGGGTCTGGTGTGAAAGACACAGCCATGCTCCCTGCCCTCCTGAGTACAGTGTGGGGAGATAGACTAGAGAGAAGCTACCCAGGGCGACTTCAGAAGGTAACCAGGAAATAACTGGGGTGCTGAGAAAGAATAATTGGAAAATGACTCTAATTTAAGTGGTCAGAGGAGACCTCTTTGAGGAAATGACTTTGGGTGGATTCCCAAGGGATGAGAGGGATTCGGCCCAGGGAACGATGGGGTGCTGGGGTGAAGGGGAGTGTTCCAGGCAGCTGACACAGCAAGTGCCAAGGCCCTGAGGCACTCTGGGAAGTGTCAGAGTGTGGAGCCTGCTGGAGGGAGGTGGCATCCCGGCCCCCATTGTGTCCCTCATGTCTAGACTGGGGTTGGAGGCCGAAAGTGGTTGCTTAGGGATGCTTTTTTGGTTGAACATGAGATGTTCAGGAACGATCCTACAGCTCAGGAACGATCTGAGAGTGGGGGGACACAACTAAATGGGGTGCACGTAAACCCCAGGGGAGGTCTTCAGACAGATCCAACTTAGCAAACATTTATTAAGTCTCTCCTGTGTACCAGTCTCTCTCTCTCTCTCTCTCTCTCTCTCT